GCCCGGCCACTGAACGGGCCTCACCTCGCCCCGGGCCCGGCCACTGAACGGGCCTCACCTCGCCCCGGGCCCGGCCACTGAACGGGCCTCACCTCGCCCCGGGCCCGGCCACTGAACGGGCCTCACCTCTCATTCCGGAATGCAGGCCAGCAGGGTTCGAGGTGGACGCTCCACCCCTCCCGGCCCAAAGCAAACTCAAAAGAGCAAAAGTTTCCTTTAAGAACAGTCTCTGGAGGGGGGAGGGGACTGCACGGGACTATGGTGATGGCACACGGGTGACTCGGCAATGGGAAACCCACGGGGGTGACAATTGAGATGAAAAAAAAAATGTACAAATGATGTAAAAATAAGCTATTATATTATTAAAAAAAAAAAAAAAAACAGCTTCTGGAAACCCTGGGAAGCAGTGGAGTCAGAGAGAGCAGAACTTGAGGGTCCCCGAGGGCGGGCGTCGGGGTGCAGACACCCCTCTGCCCCTCAGCCTCGCCGTCCTCAGGCCTCAGCAAGAGAGGCCTCGCGTGGGTGGACCCTGAGGCCAGGCGGTAACCCCCAGCCAGGAGGTTCCTGTGGGGGGAGACGAAGTTCCCATTTTTCTCTCCCAGAATTGAGCTTGGGGGCTGCTGGCAGGTGGGGCACAGCCAGCTTCCGCCTCAGCCAATGGCTGCCTTTGCGGCGCCAGGTGACGTGGCTGCGCCCTGGACACAGGCTGGTGCCATCCTTGGGCCATTGGCCAAAAGAAAAGCCCTGTGTTCTGGCAAGGACAGAGGACGGAGGCCGGCCGGTGGGACCTGTGTCTTCTGGGCCAGCCACAGTGCCCAGCCTGGGGCTGCAGGACACTCCCGGGGGCGGGGGCACAGCCCCCACCACCAGCCTGGACACCGTGGTCACGAAGCAAGCTGCGGGCGTGGGCAAGCGGGCAGGCCCGACTGTGGGGCCAGCTGGGCAGTCACCGAGGTGGGTCTGCGAGAAAACACCCTTTAAACACCGCCCCCCCAGCTGAAGTTCAAGTCCAGGCCTCGGGTGTCCTGGAGTTTGGCCCAGCGCGGCTTCCCCGCGTGTGACTCGGCACGGAGCGCCCGAGACTCGGGGAGCTGAGGGACTAAGACTGCGAGGGGAAGCCGAGGCCTCGCCAAAGGCAGGCCGACACAGGGAGCCCAGGCCGCCGGTCCCGACAGGACCCAGCCCGACAGCTAAAAGCGGGGCGCTCACAGTTTGCTAAGATGAATGTTTATGCCAAGGGAGGAGAGGCCGCGCTGCCTCAGGGATCCCCCAAGGGGAGCGTGGCCGGGTCACCCTCGCTGGCCAGCCTGTGCCAGGGACACCCGGGCGGGGATCTGTAAACACCCAGGACGCCCGTCTCCAGTCCTCCCTCTCTGCTCCCTTAAAAAGTGCCCACTCACCATCTGCTAGGTAAATTTCCCGAAACACAGTGAGCGTGGAGGCAGAGATTGTTACAGACTATTCCAAATGGCGCTGACACCTATATTTATGACATTTCAAAAGAGCAGGTTAGAGTCGCTTTGGGGGGGACCCCACCCTGTAAGGGCACATCGCCCAGGTGCCCCGTTCCACGTGACGCCGTAAGGTGCCGCGAGAGCCAGAGGTGAGGTGGCCCCTGAAGTGCAGCTCCCGACGCCGGAGATCCCTCTGCGCCTCGGTGACCACAGGGACACGCTATGAGGCGCGCTGCACTCTGGTTGCCGCCGGCGAGGCTCCAGGAGGGTGGGCCTGCCCTCCTCTCCCGCCTAGTGGCGTTGGGGGGCCCAGGCCACCGAAACGGGCACCGTCCACCAGGCCACGCCAGCACGCGCGACAGCTCTCGGCCTCAGCAGGTGGCCACAGGGGTTTAACCCCGGAGCGCCCACTCGCTCTCCCGCGGGCAGGGAGCCTGGGCGCAAGGGCCCATCTGCCACGCCGCCCCGTCTGCCGAGCCCACAGAGCAGCGCTGGGGAGGTTCTGCGGCGGACACCGGTTGCATAAGCTCCCCTCCGTGAGCCCTCCCTGCTCGGTGACTCTTTCTTAAATGTTACTCATCGTCCATCATTTACATTCAATCTTTGCATTAGGAGAGCATGATTCCACACAGGCCCAGAACAAATCTCCAGAAATTCCTCCCTGCTGCTTCTCGGAGGCTGCAAATGCATTGCAGGGCGACTGCAGTGACTTAATCCTACTTGGCAGAGCCCCGGCCACACACTAATTTCATTAGCCTCAAATTCCTGGATCTGAAGAGCCACTGGCTGTGCCTCCTCTGACATCTCACTTCTCCCTGCCCCAGGGTGGAAGCAGGGAGAGGCGGCCCTGGGCTCCCACGGGCACAGGCTCAGACGCCGAGGGCCCTTCCTGCTGCCGGCCCTGAATTTCGGCGAAGAGCGTCCTCGCAGCCGCCGGGCAGCCGCCGGCCGCACGGTCGCTCCCAGAACCGTCTCAGGACTCCCTCCTGCCCGCGCCAGCCCGGTTTATCATCATCGCTAAGCAGTCCCTGCAAGCCAGCTCATCGTAAATGTGTGCCTCAAGTGACAGGCTTGGCATCAGCCCCACAGCCACCCACAGGGAGGTGGAAAAGAAAGCTCACACCCCCGGGGAGCCGGCAGTCATGGCGTGGAGGAGCTGGGCTCACACAGGGCCCTCTCAACTGCGCTGGACCCTGCCATCCCAGGAGGACGCCCCCCCCCCCCCCCCGTTCTTCCCTCCCTAACCCACGGCGCCTTCGAACTAGAACGACACCGGCCGCCGCCTCTGTTGCCTCTGCCGGCCTGCAGGCCCCTCCCGGAGGCTGGGGAGCGGCTGGCCGGCCAGGAGCTTCTGGGGTTCCAGGCGAGAAGCACCCCGGGAGGGACGGTCAGGGACAGGTCTGCTTGTCCAGCCGGGCGGGCGCCCGCCGGCTTGCAGCGTCAGCCACAAGTTGGCACACCCCTCCTCCACCAGCCTCTTCTCAGCAAACGCAGGTGAAAGCCAGGGCCTCCAGCTCCCTCAGCTGTTCACTCCGACATGAATAGCTGCAATTTGCAAATTAGCGGAAAATGACAGTGTTTCTCTGAATGGTTCTGGTCCCAGCCCACACCGCCACCGCTGGCGTTCGGCTCCTCTCCTTCCCAGCCCCGGGGAGCTGCTCCGTCCTCACAGGCCTCGGGCTCACACCCCGGAGAGGCTGGGTCCCCGGGGAGCCTCTCCCCTGAGGCCACCACCCCGACACGGAACACTGCACCCTTTCAGGCAGCCGGGCCCTCTGCAGTGCTGCGGCCTCTGAGCCGAGACACAAAAGGCAGCGGCATCCTGTCGAAGGAGCCTTCCAGCCCAGGGCTCCGGCAAAGGCAGTGAGTGGCCGAGAGGAGCTGGGGTGCGCTCTGGGCCCCCTTGCCCTGGGCAGCAGCAGGGCTCCGGGCGGGCCGGCTCGCAGCTCCTGAGGGAGCCCCCTGGGCTGTGCTTGCAATGCCCCAGGCTCGGAGGGAAGCCCCCTCTGGGTCGGAGCACACCTGGGCGCTGGGGATGGTCCACGCAGGCAGGGCAGGTGCCCAGAGGCCATCTGCACCTTGGACCCACACCCCAGCCCCTGACTCCCTGCTCTGGCACAGACCAAACTTCACACTCCCACAAGCTGCCGTGGCCACAGCGAGTCTAAGAGCCTCCCAGAAAGCAGCGCCCTCCGGAGAAGCACGGAGAGGAGTCGCTCTGTGGGGCCAGGCGAGGGCCGGCGAGCCTGGAACATCTGGGGAAGGACTTGCAGGGTCTGGGTCCACCCGCAGGGAGAGAAGCGCAGGGAGAGCCCGGGCCTGGCGAGCGGGGCCAAAACTTGGAGCTGGGAATGAGAGGCTGATGCTGGCAGGCTAGGGGACAGCATGGAGAAAGAGACGGCAAAGGCTCACTCGGGAGAAATAAGAAGGGAAGCCCCGGCCACGCCGACCCCAAAACTCTCTTTCCAAACCCAAAAGCATCCGCGTGAAGCCCCATGAGCGCAGAGCCCGCGGGCAGCGGCCGCCCGCGTGGCCAGCTCTGCAGAGGAGCCGCGATCGCGCTCCGTGGGCGCCCTCGCCCCTCGCCTCCCGCGTCGCGTCGGCGGCAGCAGCGCCGGGCGCTGCCTCGGCCCCCGCCTGCCACCCTGCGGACAGCCTGGCTCAGCGACACGCGTCCCGGGGCAGAAGCCGCGTCCGAGGTCGTGGGAGAGGATGGGCGGAGGGGGGAGGCGGCGGGAGGCGATCCGGTTCCAGTCAGCATGAGCTCATCCGGCTCCAGCCGCTGGGCTGGCGGTTGGGCTCCTGCCCCGGCGGCTGCAAATGCAGTTCAGGGGGTGCAGATGACAGCCCTGAGAGGCCCCTGGGGGGCCGCACCGCGCTCCCCACTCGGGCAGCGCCCCGCGCCTGCCCCGCGCCGCCCTCTCGGGGACAGGCTACAGGTCCAGGTCGGGAGTCCACGGGGACAGCGGGCCGCTCGCTGCCACCTGGGGTGAAGACCCGGCCGGCTCCAGAAGCGCCCCCGAGCCCTTGTGGAAATTTTCCCGGGGAGCCGCGGCTGGCTGGCGGGGGCTGGGGCTGGGAAGCGGGGAGTTGGGAGAAGCCCAGTTTCCGGGCGTCTTCTCGTTTTTCATTTTGCAGGCGCCCGGCCGGCTCTCCCGGGAAGAGCCCGGCACTTTCGCCAGCCGTCGCGGACCATATTTCACTCTAATGCGCGCCCATTTAAATCATCGCCTTGTTTTTCGCAGATTGCTTCTTGTAAATGGGGCCATAAATCCAGAACGCCGCGCCGGGAGCGGGGCGCCGAGAGGGGAGGCCAGGGAGGGGGCGCGCCGGGC